TGAAGCAGTGCTGAAGCTCTAAATCAGGGGTGTCAAACTTCAATGAGCTGTGGGCCACTGCAGGCACTGTTGTCTGATTAGCCACTTTAGTGTTCAAGTAGTACAAAACAAACATCCCAAACAAGAACACACCCATAAATATTTCTGAAAATGTTTTGTTTTTTTCAAATATGGTATAACAAGACAAAACTGCAAACATGAATGCAGATTTTAACTAAATGAAGCCTTTCATTGAACTACCAAATAAACACATTGTTCCTCTCTGTCTGTCCAGATACGTGGCAGCACTTCTGCTATCATTTTGTTTGTATTTAACAAAATAAAATGCAGACATAAGTGTAGAGACTGTGACTCTCTCACTGAACTAACACAGCCACTCCCTCAGCATGTTTGTACTCTCTGCTCATATTGCATTCATATTAAATCATTTTTTGCTTTTTAAAGAACTTATTTTAACAAAAAAAAGTCACTTCAGGGACAAAGTGAATTATATTTCTTCACGGCAATGTACGGGTGAAATGGGCCGCAATCGGCCCGCGAGTTTGAGACCTCTGAACTAAAAGCTTTGGCCATTATTTATCATCACGCTTCATAATGATGGACGTCCCATAGCAACTGTGACAATGGAGGGGCGAGTGTGTAGTCCCGCCCTGAACCCCCTGCTTCCTGTGACTCTAATGAGACAGAAAGCAGCGACCAATCAGGAAGCTGTTTGCTGAGCTCAGAGGTTTCTCATAGATTGTTTTACAATCAGACAGTTGCCCCCTGCTGGACATCAGAAATAATGCAGGTTTAAGGCACTTTCACATATAAAGCCTGTGTAATAATGGGGGGGGGGCAGTCTGAGTTACAGGTGGGTGCAACAGCTCATCCGCTAGGCATTACTTTGTCACTGTTCCATGAGATTTTAGAGTTCGCTGTCATGATCAGATTTTAGAGAACAAACCAATGATCACATGAACGATACCCGATCACCTTAATGAGCTCCTAATGAACCTGCTGGACTTGGTTTGTCTGCAGTTCAGAGTTTTCAGTCATATGAATCTTTATTTCTAACATCTTTAATTTAACTGCAACACTATTATTCAACATAATATGAATGGTATAACACGAATCATCACTCTCATGTTACAGAAACAGTGAGACGATATGAAAGTTTGCAGGGCTGCACAGACTTGTGTGTTACAAAAGGAGGAATAAAGTCTTCTTCTGTTAGTTCTCACAGAGTCTTCCTCCTCTGTGAGAGTCTGGGGCCACAGGATATGAAAGTAATTTACATTCCTCTGAAGTGCAGCAGGATCTTATGTGACTGTGTCTGCGTTACTTTGAGTCTTTCTTCACTTCATTGCCCTTACAGTGTGTACGAAGGCAGCATGACTGCTGTCCTCAGCAATCTAAAGGCTCACCAATGACAGAACAGAAAAAAACCCTTTCTGGCTCTTCTGCTAAAACATTCAGCTCCAAATGTCTGAGGACCAAAGCTGGGTCATTATCATCATCATTATCTGCTGTGTGTGAAAATGTTTTTCATTCATTCTTTCTGTTTTTTTGATGAAGACTTAGGAGAAGGTGACAGCGACAGACTTTAATGCTGTAAGGTATGTGAGTCAGTACACTGGTGTGTGTGTGTGTGTGTGTGGGCAGTAGAAGCAGTCTGCAGTTCAGGGGGAGGAACATAATGCACCTTCAGACTGGAAACACCACACCACCAGACCCAGGTGGTCCTAATCACTCACCTGACCATGGCCTGCCCATCAGGCACCTGCAACACAAACGCACTGACACAAGAAATGCAAAACATTAGAGAAGAAGGGGCATGGCCTTGGTGTCAGGGGACGAGGCGGTGCAGGGTGGAGAAAGAACCATGATCCACCTGATCCAGCTGTGGTGCCTTCAAAGACACAGCTGTTTAACCCCACTGTTGATCATGTTGTTCGATTCAGAGAACTCAAGAACCTTTGTAATAACTGTAACTGTAATGTGATTACTTGAACTAGTGTAATAACACCATCACCAACTCTGTCATGTGACCTGTTGAGATGATCTAACTAAGCTGTGGGTGGGGGTTGAAGTCAACACCCCCATCATCTTTGTTCACACGCAGCGAGTAAAAAAGATGGGGCGTGTCCTCATCAGCACAGGGTCTGTGGGTGGGACCGCAGCCTCAGATTTACAACCATAATTATGAGACAATTTCATCTTACAGAATAAGATGACCTGAAGAAAGTAACTAATTACGTTCTTCAGCGAGTAATTAAGTATGATACTCTTAAGAAAAGTAAAGAGTAATTAGTAATCCATTACCCCACAACTTGGCTATGATCATTAGTGAGTCCTCTGAGGGGACAGCTGGGACTCTTAGGCCAAAACAATAAGCACGCCTGACCCTCTGAGCTCTGCTACACCTGTAGAGCTGGATGCACAGGGAGATGCAATCCTTCAGGGAGATGTGGGAGATGCACGTGTGCCGAGCCCGGCCGAACTATCACATGCCCTCTGGCATCCCTCTACATGAGTGTACCTGCAGCCCGGAGAACGTCTCATCTGCACTTTAAGGATGACTTTGGTTTAAATGGCAGAACACAGAGTGAGAAAGCAGAGGTGAGCAATACTTCCATTCATCACTGACTAGTAATAAAGTCCTGTCTGGGCTTTATCATCAAGTTTCAGTTCGCTAAACTGAAACTTCATCTTTATGAGCTTCACGTATCAAAAAGGAAAGCGAGCTCGGCTTAGCTCGGCGGCGGTAACGAAGCGCTTTCATTACGTTTCGATCAGTCGACTGATGCCGTCTCTGTGTTCAGACTCACAAAGAAGATCAACAGCAGGCTTATCAACGTTTCTTTAATTCTCCTTTATCAGAACTGTCACATAGCAACAGAAACAAAGTCATACACATGTCAGCTCCCTGAAAGAGAAGCTTTTCTGCTCTTTTAATACATGAAAATACCCATTTTGTTCTGTCAAAATAAATACTGAAGAGTTTTATAAAAGTCATTTTGTCTCCTTTGGACAGGTTATGGGAGTTATATGTTTAGTTTATATACACATTCATGCTGCAGGCTGTGAACAGAAGTTAAAGAACCCGTCAGAGGTTTGGAACAACCTCTGATGGTTGGAAGAAGACGGTTGTCTTCCTCCTTCTCCAAAGAGAAGGAGGAAGACACACTAGAAGTGCAGCTGGCAGCTGCTGTTCACATCCTGCTGCATGCATACATTCTGCACTCTGTTGGAAGTCTTTATCCTGATTCTGTCAATGCCATCAATGAAAGATCCAGCTGTGTTTCCTATAAAGCAGGACTTGGACAGCAGCCATGAAACGCTGAAGCATGTGGGGGGCGTCCTCCGCCTGCTCTGCCGAGAACCTTGGTCCCAAGATGATGTGTGAGCTCACGAAAGCAGAACCCTGTCGATCGCGGTGGATAAAGACGGAGGTTATGAACACACTGAAGGTGTAGTGCAGTCACAGCCCCTCAAGATAAGAAGATTTGTTGTGTTTCTCTCTCTAAATGCTTTGAACTTAACTCATCTGTTTCCTTCCTTTAACCGCCGGAACAAACTTTGTGTGGCCAGATTAATAAATACCCACTACATCCTGCTGCTGCCTGTGCTTTTAGGCTCTAGTGAGAGTAGAAACAGAGAATAGAAACTGACCTCTGTAGTCACAAAGCCGAACATTAAACGAGCTCCTCTGCAGAACTCTGAGCGTGAGCATGCAGTGCTAATCCAAGGCTGTTGTCAGACTTGATAAGACCTACATGTCCTCACACATGGAGGTGTTTCCAGTTTGGCTGCATGTCCCTCTGACCTCACACTTGCTCTCCAAACAGACAGGTGATGCTTTTGGTCTTCAAAAAAAAAACTGTCCCACTAGAGTTTGCAAAGGTTGGAGAGCCCAGGTTTCCAACACACACAAGGACGGGCACCGACTGATGTCACAGAGAGACAGTTAAAAGGAAGACTGATGATTCAGAGACACTGTCTGCAGCGATGTTAGCGAGGGACGGATCAGCTGCTTAAAGCCAGAATTCACTTTAGAAGGAGGTGATGCTGCTGCTCGCCAACTGGCTCGGATTATCTTGCCCGCATGCTTCATGTCACCGATGCACAGAACACTGGACGACTTAAAGATCAACTGTGTGAGGACTCTGGTGTCACACTTATAATAACAATAACAATAAATGAGAAATCATTTTGATAAACTGCACACTTCCTGTTTGGGCTCCACATCAGGAACAGTTCAGGAACTTTTCATGACAAAAGCAGCTTTGAAGAATATTTTCTGTTTGCTAAAATCTTCACGGCCCTTTACAAACCCATTGCCCTGCTCTCCCGTTCTCAGGGGCACTGGCACAGAAACAGGCAGCCTGGGTTGGAGCTGCACCTTCAGAGAGGCGAGCAGTGAGAACAGCATCTGATCCGGTTACAGGAAATTACTCCAAATTGCAAAGTATTGTGGGCAGAGGTGGAAAGCCAACTGCTTTTCAATTTTGGAGAATCGATTGCAAGTACATTATGAACCGAGGTCTAACCACGGTCTGGGCACGCTGTTTTCTCATAAATTCTTATGAGTTGGTGTAAACACGGAACAATGAGGCCTTAATTTCAATGTCTTTTAAATTTAAAGTGATTCTCGAGTCCACAGATACGCGTAGGAACAAAACACGCCCGCGTTACCGGCCTCGCCGTGCATTTGCAGGCCAAAGCATAACCGAAAAACTGTGTTTATGACCACGCTCACCATCTGCACATATCCAACTGCAGCTGACATCCACCCGTGTGCCGGAGCACCACGGGTGGATGTCAGTCTGGGAGCTTGAACGTGGTTGGATATTTCCATTTAGCCATCTTTGGTGATGTCTAACTACCTTTCCGTGTCAAGAGCTCCTCGTCTGTCTTTGTGCTGCAGCATCAGCGCTCAGCAGTGCGTCTCTCTGATTAAGAGATCTGAGAGGACTGCTTGCCTCTGCCTCTGTATGACATCAGCCTTGGTCTCTGAATTTTGTTGCTTTACAGATATCTTTTTATTAACAGCTCTGTGCAGTGAGAGGAATGTTTTTATCAGCAAAAAAAGAAGAGCCAGAAACAAGAAGTAGAATTAGCTGAACGTGCTCCAGCACCACTGTTTCCAGTAAAGAGAGCAGGAGGAGAGCCTGCTCCAATGTTAAACTTTCATGTTTGCTCACAGTCAAACCTTCAATTGTTTTTTTGTGAAGAACATTTTGACCAAAAGAGGACCACAAATCTCTACAGTAAGCAGATACTAAGCAGCCCTGGAGTGACCTGGGTTCGTTGGACTGTCACGACCACAATGTTAGCAAAAAGGGCCAATTTAAATCAGCGGCAGAGAAGCCGCGGCAGCAACATTAATTTCATCAGTGTCCCGCCAAAGCACAGGATCTGCCTCTGGAACGTGCTTGTCTTTCATCTCCTGCTATTTTCTAACGCTGTGTGTGTTTTGGAGCCGGGTCACCATTTAACCGGGTGTGTCAGACCTGCCTGTGAGCGCCTAAGAAATCAACGACTGTAAAATGAAGATGTACACGTCGCAGAGCTGCAGCTCGAGCCTCACATGCCCAAGTCTCTCAGCCACCTTCAGCACAAGAGAGGGTGATAGGGGACAATAGCGGTGACATTCATGCTCTGGTGAGTTTACTTTTAACCAGGGTCCAGCGTGTCGTAGTGCTCAGAGACTCTAGAGGTGCTGGGCCGCGTTAACGGAAGCTTCCTCGACTCGAGGCCTTGCAAAAAACTAAATTTGGAATTTTTCACATGCTGCGATTTGTTACCAAACGCAGTGATCCAATTGGTCAGACTCAGTTTAATCTGGAAAAACAAAAGGGACAAATTCATCGTGTGAAATGACACGGCCTATGTGTGACAGCCTTTAATCCGATTTCTTGTGCTAATGAGAAAAAACACAACAGCAGCAGCAGGAAGAGTCCTGCATGGAGGCACGCAGGGAAACAGACGTGACTGCGAGCGGTCGGCTTGTTCAGGTTTCATGAGTGCAAATGCAGACACTTGTTTATGCAGAGGGGACGTGGTGCGTCAGGTTGGGATGGATGTAACGCGGGCTGAATCACCTTTGAGAGCCTCACAAACACCTCTGACAACACCGAAATGACCAACACTTCCAATCACTCATTGCAGCTCTCACTGTGGAAGAGAGACAATCACTCAGATGGTGGCGTATGAGCACAGCAGCCTCTGTAATAATGCACTTGGACAGTTTAAATCAAGGCTTAAATGCAACCTTTTGCTCTCGGCCGAGTGAGGATTCATGAGACTTTGTGTGGATATTCAGAAAAAGCAGTTAGAAACTGAAACACTTGGTTTAAAGGCTCATTTACAGGGACATCGTGGAAACAACGCAATCACAAACGGGTCCGCTGAGTGTCATCGGAACGCTTTGGCCACATGATTCACTTCTAAGTCATTAATCACATCCTCCTACAGACGCCACCGCCATGTGTGGTGGCCAGCGGCCCGCTGATGACATCGCCATCCTGGTTCCGCCCAGGGTCACCCGGCCTCTGCAGACGGCAGAACCAATGCGACACAGCGCTGGCTTTAAATGCTTCCTCACGGGCGGGTCAAGTCTCGGCGGAGCTTTGAAACCAGATGGCCCACTGGCAGTGCCCCGCTCCTCTGACACACCGCTAAAGTCCTGCTGGGCTCTAGATTCGTAGCATCGATGACGGATTTCAGCTCCAGATGTGTGAAGGCGGCGGTGTCCGTGTCGTTGGTCACAAGCAGGACTCGTGAGACTCTATGTGGGTGTGCAGGGACTTCTTCTCCTGCTCTGAGTGGTTCCCATTGTGGAGCACGCAATACCTGAAAACACAGACGGAGGGAGTTAATTTAACAGGCATAAAGAAGCAGCCTCCAAAATGACAAATGTGTTCCACTATTCACACAGCTTTGTCTGTGTCTGCTGAGGAGCACGTCACGGCTGTAAGACCATTCAAATAAGCAGAATACGGAGAATAAGGAGCGCATCGAGAGGAGGAAAGAGCTTTCAGTGAGTCTGTCTGAAACACTAAACCAGCACACATGCACAGGCTTCTGCTTTACTGTTGCATTTATGCTGAAAGCTGACACTGATTGGGCCACCACAAAAATCCATGAGCTCATCGGAGCAAAAAGTAAAACACCTGAAAAGTGAAGGAAGCGTCTGAATGAGAAGTCGGAGCTGAGTGGATGAGATAAGTGGTGTGGAGTTACATTAAACCATCTGCAACCTGACCAACACTCAGAGGAGAGGACGGGAAACCCGAGCTGGACTTAGATGAAGCAGTTCTGGGACTCCAACACAAATAAATAAGAGCGGTCAGACACAAAAGGAAAAGTCACTTTCTAATTTAAGAGAGAGGGACGTCAGACCAGGGAGTGAACTCAGCTAACGCCTTTTATCGTTGTCATAATGGGAAAAGAAGTGTTTCAGGAGCTTTTTAACGCCGACAGCAGTCAGACTGGGAGGACAGTGAGACACCGGGTCACCGAGTGTTCACCAGCTGAGCTAAAACACACTCCATCTCCAAACCAGAGCTAAATACAAACGTGAAACCAAACTGCTGCACTTCATATCGATATAAAAAATGAAATAATGAGAGGCGCTGGAGGGAGCAACCATCTTTAAACACGTGCAAAACCAATGAGATGCAGATTCAGAAAAAAGATCACCTAAAATAAGTTTCAGATTAATGTGGACGAACTTAAATAATCAAGCACGCTGCTCTGGTGTGCTGCATTTTCAGCTGTGAATCAGCTGAGAGTATTATTATTAGTATTACTGAGAAGAGAAAAAGGAAACATCAATGAACTTTAAGTTTGAAAAGGCCAGTGAAGATGTGCCTTCTGCAGCTAATAAAAAACAGAGGTGTCTGATATTAGAAAATGACCCAGCTGGGAGGAGGTCTTGGGTTCAATGTGAGGGCTGACGTTCATGTGCTCAGTCTCGTTCTGAACACGCTGATTCCAGCATGATTTCCTCCTGCAGCCTGGAGCTGCTCACAGCACAAAAGATCCTTCCAGCAGGAGGACTCACAAACCCACAGAGAAAACTCAGGACCCTGCTCCAAGAAATGTGTGTGCACCATGTGCGGCACCTGTGTGCACGCACTATGTGCACTCACAGGTGTGTGCATGCACAGAGTACATGATCGCATACATGTTGTGTGTACGTAGACAGTGTGTGCGCAGGCTAAAACCATTACGAGCTGTTTACGCAAACACCCCGCCCCAACACACTTCCTGCCGACTAACTGGCCGTGAAATGCGTCTTCCAGACAGCCGCGAACATTTAAAGCTTCTCAAATGCAGACAGCTGCACATTCTCGTCACGTCCAAATTGCTGCCACATTGCGGCGTTCAACCCTCGCCAGCCTCGCTGAGGAGGGAACAAAGATGCTGGCTGAATCTGGACCCTCACTTTGATTCCAGGGCCCCCCTCCCCCTTACCTGCCAGCGTCTGCACTACAGATAAAGTTCAATAGGTACAGGATGTGACATCATCAATGGATCACCCCGTGGGTATTCAGTCTAATTATTAACGTGTTTATGTAAAAGAGGCGGAGTTTACAGTACGTAACCAATCAGGAGCATGGACAGGTGTACAGAGAGCAGAGTATTGTAATTATATAACAGTTGCCTTAAGGTGCATTAATATCTTTAAAGGTAATAAACACTAAAAAAAACCAAAGGAAGATAAAAGGAACATATTAGAAAATGTTCCATATTCACTTAAATGAAAAGACGTGTAAGACAGTTAAAGTTAACCAACCTCAGGGGAAAAATTATTTAAGCATTAGTTTTATTTTATTAGTCATTTTTAGAAGAGTAAATATGCTCAGTTATACATTTTATATGAGTGAAACATGTGCTAGTAGCTTTGTAGTGTCTCACACAGTCAGCTGTCATCTTCAGAGTGACTGTGGTGGGGATGAGATGGAGTCTGTGTGTGACCGAATGTGGTCACGGTGCCAATTACACTCGATTACCTGCAAAAATCACAGGAATTCAGTTCAAGCTCAGAAGTCTGAAGCAGAATTTCCTCCACCCACAGTGACGTAGTCGCTGAAGAGCTGACCCCAGTCTCACGGATCGTTCGTGATCACGGCGAGGCTGCGGTCCTGTTTTCACTACGGTCTAAGGAATCCTCCAGGAACCTTTGAACCACAGAGCTGAACCTGAAGCATCCCTCCTGCTTCACCTTGTATCCTCGGGTTTGCTGCCGGTTGTTTCCTGGCTTCTGCTCCTGGATTTCAGGCTGCAGGTCTGGTTTGTGCTCAGTTCAGATTTGCCCCGTTAGTCCCAATTATTCAGCCTCGGCCTGTTCACTGGTTTGTCTGTGAGCCTCAGACTGTGGCAGAGCTTCTGTGTTTTTTGTTTCTCCACATTGCCGTTAAATTAAAGCTCGCCTTCTGTTTGCCATCGCTGCCTTCGACACCCTGCAGAGGCGTCCTCGTGTCGCATAGCTGTGGATCCTGTGGCAGCGAGCCGTCATGTGAGCAGACTGTGCTTTCTGGTTTGCTGCACAGACATCAGTCCAGCTAGCACCTTTGTGAAACAGCCCAATCAGATACAAGGAAACCAACCATAATGCATTAACATGTAACAAGCAGCAGTTTCATTCATCAGAATCAAAGAATCAACACATCCCAGTGTTTCGTTGAAAAGCTCAAACTGAAGAAAACTAAAAGCTCAAAAAAAACGCTCAGCTCTGCACAAACACAGACAGCGGTTCAGGAAGTCGACCAAAGGCAGGAATGCACTTTCATATCTGGAAGAAGTGAAACTGTGGAAACGGATCCGTCCTGTGTTTAGCCGAGGCTTTGTTTGTACACAGCTAAGCCAACGGGCCAACTGGCAGAGCAGGACGGAGAGGCCGGGGAGGGAGACACGAGGCCCGGATCACAGGCAGACTAAACATTTCTGCATATTCTGGGCACTGGTGTGGCCAGCATTCATCTTGATGAAGTGCCCTGAGCAAAACTTTGAACGTGCTAAGCAACGGACATGATGGCCCGTGTGGGCGGGAGGTGAAGACGAATATCAGCCAGATAACGCAGAAACACACATTTCATACGCTGTGATCTGGACTGTGTCACACTTACAGAAAATAAACAACATTTTCTCTGAGCTCACAGGAAATTTAAAGTTCCCGACTTTCCCGATGTGGAGCCGGGCTGATGAAAACAGCGAGCATGCACATCTGCGGAAAAAGGAAGAGATGGTGGCATCGTTGTGCTTCTGTAGAACAAACTCTGGGATCGTCTCATTTTTCATTGATTTTCCTGCTGAAATCAGAAGAAAGTTTGATAAAAATTGAATAACTGAATTTAGAGCCAAGACTCAGAGTTTCAGTAAGTGTCGCCATTCCTCCTCGTGTTCTGTGTCAGCTTATTAATGCTGTTAAAGCTCATCCAATCACTGTGCAGCTGCTCTGACACTCACAGTTTCATGTCAGGCGTGCAGCGGTAAATAAATCACTCTGAATGTCGCGGCATCTTTCAAGAGCACAAGCAGGGATGGAGGTAAACCCAGCGTCATGCAGCACCTTTATGGGGGCGTGGCCAGTCTGGCGTGGTAAACTGACGCATGAATAACAGTCTTTCTAAGGCTACATGTTTCTGTTTTTTCACCTGTCATTTAACGCCGTCAAGTATGAAAGCCTCAAATCGCTGCGTGCCGTGGCACATTTTAAACCTCACGTTTAACTGAGATACGATCAGAAGGACTGCGGCCACCCGAGGGAGGAAAATTATGTCAGGAATAAGTCGTTTAAAAGAACAGATTAGAAATGAGTTCCTGATTTGCTGCAGTCTCCTCTTTAGAGGCTGACACACTCATTTTAACTCGACATTAACCTTTTAGAAGTGAACAGTGCTGCTGACACGTAAACTCCCTTACCTTTGTCGAGTCCGTGTATGACGGAGGCCTCCAGCAAAGTGCTCTCACAGAGGTCAGAGGTTAATTAGCATATCCTCAGTGAAAAGTTGATATTTGGAAGAAAAACCTCTGTGTTGGAATTATTATGTAATATTTACACTTATATTCAGGTGCCCACCAGTTTCATGTAATCCACCTTTGCAGTTTAATTTACAGGCTCAGGGATGTGTTTTACTCCAGCTCTCTCAAACTCTTCTCTGGTTTTAATTTCAGGTTACTGCAGACACACAGGTGTGGCCCCACCTTCTCGCCACCGTCTGTGACAGGAACACATCTGCTGATGGTGAGGATCACCAACCCTCACCATCGAACCGAACCGATGTGAAATTAGCTGCTGAGATGCTCTAGCATTTGAAGCAGCCAGCGTCTCCACAACGATCCGACGGACGGCCGCTTGATGTGTCGTCCCTGCTCTGTTTCCTCCAATCACAGGTGATTGTCACAATCAGGAAGCTCTGTGTGTGTGTGTGTGTGTGTCTGTGTGTGTGGTCTGTTTCTCCCCAGTTTAACTGTTAAGAAAGCAGAAGTGAGTCTCGAAAACACGTTAGGGTGCTGATAAAGGCGGGGGAGGTGTGTGTGTAATAGATTTGAGGGGAATACAATAGGCAGGAATTTGAATAGGAAAGAGATTACGTCGTATTGAGCTAACTGAAAAGAATGAGACAGAGAATTTTATGCAAAAATTATTCAAACTTCACGCCCACGAAGAATGGCTGTTTCCATCTCAGATACAGTCTGGCATAAGAAATATGAGTTTCTGAGAGGACTGAATACAGAGAGGTAATATATTCTACATAAAGCACTGATGTGAACTCCTTTGACCTTCAGGAAGATTTATTTGTTACTAAGCAGGTAAGCACAATCAGAGCCAAAAGGAAAAGCCT